AGAGTTCCCTCCTGCACTCCAAACCCCTCATCCCCGGGCCCACCCCAGAGCCTGCACCCCCAGCCCAGAGCCTGTACCCACTCCTGCACCCCAACCCCCTGCCACAGCCCACAGCCCCCTCCCAATCCCAAACACCGAATCCCTTGGCCCCAACCCCCAGCCTGGAGCCCCCTCCTGCACCTCAAACCCCTCATCCTTGGCCCCACCCTGGAGCCCGCACCCCTGTTAGAGCCCTTCCCCCCTCCCATACCCCAATCTCCCCCCCAGCCCAGTAAAAGTGAGTGAGGGTGGGGGAGAGTGAGGCATCGAGGGAGGGGGAATTTAGTGAGCAGGGGTGGGGCCTCAGGAAGGGGCGGGGCATGGTCTCAGGGTAGGGGCGGGACTAGAGTGTTCGGTTTTGTGCAAATAAAAAGTTGGCAACCCTATTCTAATTGTTTCCCTCCTTCCCATTGCTTTTCCTTTTCCTGGCACTTCCAAGGCTCCCACTGTCCTTCCTAAGTGTAAGTCTCTCCCCTTTGCTTCCTTCCATGTTCCCAGCAAAAGACTCCCCTTGTCTCTTCCAACCCCTTGTGTCAAAACCTCCTCCTGCTTACTTTCCAGAAAGAGATGTCATGCATACCAGAGGTGTTTTTTATCAGATAAAATCATGTTTTTTACTGCCATGGGAAAAACTACCAATTCCAGTTCAAGGCATTTTCTATTTTAAAAACTGTTTCATTAGTGCACACCACATTACACTTCATTGTAGTTATATATTCAAATTGTGATTACATAAGGTTGGAGATTTGGAAATTAATTTAGGGTTGTACAAATAAAAAGTAAAACCGCAGTAGGCGTAATATTAATATATGTAATATAATACTGAACATCGAAATGTCTATACATTTTAGTTCAGTATTTTCTCAAGGAACTTTCACATATCATGACTCATATTTCAGTTTTCAATATTATTTAACTATTATATATGCTGAAAAACTATTATCAAACTGCAAAATATTTCCCAATAATCGTCACTAGTATATTCTGGTAATTATTTTATTTTTCCCAGTTTATTTACCAGTGCCCTGTCCTAAACTAGTTTTTCCCTGTTAAATTGCCAACCCTGTTTCCAAAACCAGTTCCCCTTTTTCTTTTCAGGAATCCTAGACCCTTTGAAGCATTTCTGTAGTCAATACAGAGGTCACATTTCTTATTCCTAACTCATGAATTCTCTGCTTTAAAACTATGATTTTGCTATTGTCTACAAACTTTACTGTTGGTAGCTGTGAATGTGAGCACATGCTTTAACACATTAACTTAATCCCAGAGGGTAATAGAAAGAAACCTACATAAACAAAAGAACATTTGGAGTAAGGTCTTCAATCTTTCATTTTCTGTAGTAAAACAATTACATGTGTGTTTTAAAAAAACTAAACTGGGTTGCCACTTTAATTGTTACAGCAAAAAAACAATCGTTATATTACAAATAATTATTTTCGGAATAGGATTAGATGCCGATGTCATTGTAAGAAAAGAGAATAGCTACCTTTAATGAAATTATGATTAAGGATTAGCTGTAATTCTAGCAACCTATTAAATAAAGAGTAGATGTTCTCTGTGCAATGCTGCTTTTGCATTTCACGGTGTGCAGTGGGACACCATCAAGTTATAACCAAAAAGTATTAGGAAAAGTAATCTCTAACTAATTGCCCAAATTTGGAAAGAGATGCATGCAAAAATGCATTTTTGCTTTCAGTCACTCGAGGCCCAGATATAGTGCAATGGACACACACAAATTAGGATGCCTGTGTGTAACTTGTGCATGTGACTACATATACTTTTACATGTACCCTTTTGAAATATGGGCAAAGCTATTCTATTTTGAGAATTTATCAGGTGGGCTATTTCAGCATTGATTTTATTATTTATATCCTATTATAGGAAAAGATTGAATGTACAGTGATATATGTAATAGTATAATTTATTGTGCTATCAACTATTCAGTTCTAACAAGAAAATTAATCCTGATTCTCAAGTGCAGTCAAGCTCAGCACAGGAACCCTGTGTGGTGGGTCGAAGTTGTCTGTAAGCCACTCACCATTGTAGTCCCTCAATTCCCAGGGCAAGTGAGGGCTGGTTCTGTTCCTGGTATATATTTGAGCAGACTTGGGGCTGTGCTAGCCTGCCAATTTGTAACAGCCCCTGTGCCAGGCACCTGGCAGCCAGTGGCTTTATGCCACCCTGGGATTCCCTTACATCAGGAGAATCCCTAGCTGTTCATTGGGCATAAAAGGGTGTTACAAGAAGGAGGGAGAAAAATTGTTCTTCTTAACCTCTGAGGCTAGGACAAGAAGCAATGGGCTTAAATTGCAGCAAGGGAGGTTTAGATTGGACATTAGGAAAAACTTCCTAACTGTCCGGGTGGTTAAGCACTGGAATAAATTGCCTAGGGAGGTTGTGGAATCTCCATCATTGAAGATTTTTAAGAGCAGGTTAGACAAACACCTGTCAGGGATGGTCTAGATAATACCTAGTATTGCCATAAGTGCAGGGGACTGGACTAGAAACCTCAAAGGTCCCTTCCAGTTCTATGATATTGCAAAAGACCAACAGTCCTAGCCTGATATCCTGCCTATGACAGTCACTGGGAACCACAGCGGGGAAAGGAGCAGAACGCTGGCAGCTCCTCTGGTGGCTGTACCGCCCCCATCCCCGCCCACCCAGCCCTGTCCTCTGGCGGGGCTGCTGCTGTACGGACGGAGGAGACGCAGCTCCATGGAAGGGCAGGGGGGCAGGGCGGGACTGAGGTTGTTACAGCCACTCCAGAGGAGTGTCTTTCCAGTACCCCATACCAGCTATAAATATCTTGCTGGTACGGGGTACCGTACCACCGTACTTGCACTGCTGCATATCCTCTCTTAGTGGTCTCTTATCCAAGCTGAAAAGTCCCAGTCTTTTTAATATCTCCTCAAATGGAAGCTACTCCATACTTCTAATCATTTTTGTTGTCCCTTTCTATACCTTTTCCAATTCAAATCATAGGTGGAGCTAGGGGTGCTGGGGATGCAGCAGCATTCCCTGGCTTGAAGTGGTTTCCATCACATACAGGGTTTGTTTCAATGGCTCTCAGCATCCCGGATTCTAATATATCTTTTTTGGGGTAACCAGAACTGCATGCATCATTCAAGGTATGGGTGTACGAAGGATTTATATAGAGGCATTATGATATTTTCTGTCTTATTATATATCTCTTTCTTAATGGTTCCTAACATTCTGCTAGTTTTATTTTGACTGCTGCTGCACAATGAATAGATGTTTTCAGAAAACTATACACAATGACTCCATGGTTTCTTTCTTAAGTGGCAATAGCTTATTTAGACCCCATCATTTTTATGTATATTTGGGATTATGTTTTCCAATGTGAATTACTTTGCATTTATCGACATTTAATTTCATCTGCCATTCTGTTGTCCAATCACACTGTTTTGTGAGATCCCTTTGTAACTCTTTGCAGTCTGCTTTGGACTTAACTATCTTGAATAGTTTTGTATCGTCTGCAAATTTTGCCACCTGACTGCTTACCCCTTTTCCTCCGATCATTTATGAATATGATGAACAGGACTGGTCCCAGTACAGACCCCTGAGGGACACCACTATTTACTTCTCTCCATTCTGAAAACTGACCTTTTATTCCTACCCTTTGTTTCCTGTCTTTTAACCAGTTACTGATCCAACAGAGGATCTTCCCTCTTGTCCCATGACAGTTTACTTTGCTTAAGAGCCTTTGGTGAGGGACATTGTCAAAGGCTTTCTGAAAGTCCAAGTACACTATATCCACTGGATTACTGTTGTCCATAAAAAAAAAAGAACGAGGAGGTGCCACAAGTACTCCTCATTCTTTTTGTTGATACAGATTAACACGGCTACCACTCTGAATCTTGTCCATATGTTTGTTGTTCCACTCAAAGAATTCTAATAGATTGGTGAGGCATGATTTCCCTTTACAAAAGCTGAATTGGCTCTTCCCAACAAATCTTGTTAATCTATTCTTCCACAGTACTACAAAAAGGACAAAATTGGAGCCCCCAACTGGCCTCCTATATGCGATTTACTATTTTCTCTATGTCTTGTAATGGGGATGGTAGATATGGAGGGAATTAATTGCATACCCTGCTCTGAAGAGCAGACAGTGAACTGAAATATATGAATCCTGCTTTTTAGTTTCTTTAAAGATTGTCTTTCTGTTAACTCTCATAGTATCTCACAATCTGACATACAGACTACCCAACTATTCAAGAGAGATAGACTCAAGCTGCACAGCTGACATCTAGATATAGTTAAAAGTATGAAACTAGGGTTCTAGTTCAGGTCCACATCTATGAGATACTGTAGCAGAATAAAAAGGGGGTGACTCAGCCAAAACAAAAACATGAGTGTAGAATGCAGTTACCTGACAACATATTGTGAACAGGAGTGGCAATGTTAATGTCCTGGAGGTGTTTCAGTGTCTCAGTGTGGAACAGGCGGAGTGTAGATCCAGATGTGAAGGCAATCCAGATTCCCACTCCTGCAACAGCCATGTGTGAGATCACCATCCCTTCTTCTTGATGAGCTTCAAAATGGCGCTATAAAAAAGACAAAGAAGACAAAGGATCTATAATAGATGCACCAATGACAGAGCATTCATTTGTACTTATGAACTTCTCAGAGTAGGAAATGTGCCTTTGTTCTCTGTGTAGAGTGCCAGGTTGCCTGATCCCTTTGCTCCACTAAGAGCAAGTCCTGACTCTGCTGCATATATGGTGTTAGTTTTCATTGCCACTTGTTTTGGAAAAAACTGCATAACTATTAAGGAGGGAATCCCAAGCTCTCGCCACTAAAGTTTTATAGCCACTCATCTGATTACATCCTGGGAATTTAGAATTTGATAACAGTTGTTACTTAACAGGAATTCTGCATATCTGTATCGTAGCTCCAATGGGAACACAAGTACAGACAAGTCTCCTGAGACTGGACTTATTTTCGCCATCATGTTAATTAAATCTGCAGTAGAGCTCCCACCAGTAGGGTATTTTGTAAGACTCCCTAGTGTAAACATGGCCTGGGTTTGGGTGGAATGTACAGACAAACACTCACTTGGAAGGCAGAATAGAACTTCACTGCAGTGAGAATAAATCAGTCACAGTAACTTCTGGTGCATTTTTAACTTTCCTGGGTGAGATTTTGCTTTCTGCTAGTAGTTTCAGTTGCCTTGAATCCCCTTGGGATTGGGTTTCTGTGCCTGCCCACCATTTTACCCAGTAAATGGGAAAAGACTCCCAGTCATTTTGAAGGGCCCAGGTGTCTCCACACACATCCCTTGCTAATTCCTTCATCTCAATCTCTTTCATACTTCACACAGTGGCATTAATAATCTGCCAAATGGTGACCATAATGAGCATCTCTCTCCAGGGATCCAACCATTATTGTTGTAATTATTAATAGTTATTTTTATTTGTATTACCAATGCGCTTAGGAGCCCTAGTCATGAACTAAGGCCCTCTGCACTAGGTGCTCTACAAAGACATAACTAAAAGACAGTCCCTATGAATAATCTCTCCTATTTTAAACTTCTCTTTGAACAAACCATTCAATTAACTTTCTTTTGAAAGAACAATTTTAAGTTTTGAATATCATCATGATGTACATAAACACCAACACTGAAAATATGGCCTCAGTCTTTCATGGCCCTAAATATATATAGCAGGGAATAGCTTATTAGTGTAAGATTGGTGGCTATAACATAACCTAGCACCTAATCAAAAAAATACGTAACAAAATGTCCCTGTAGGTTTTGTTGTCACTGAGAAAATTCTGACCTCCTTCAGATAAGGATATCTGAACAAAAGGACACATTAAGATGGGTCAAATTTAACATTGCCAGTCATTTCATTATGCGGAAAAGTCACTCTGAATCTCCCCGCTTTAGAGACACCCAACATGGAGGAGAAGGTGAAACAGGATTAAAATCCTAGAGCACTGGGAGGGTTCAGTGGGGAACTCAATTACTCCATTTTTGTTTCTTTACCAAAGAGACAAAATACTATTAATAATATCAAGGATTTTCTTTCTGGTCTTTATTTAATTCTGTTTCTACTCAGTAAAAGGGACAATGAGATTAGGGATAAATTGATCTTTAAAAAGTAGATTATTTAAGGCTCTAAAGGCATCATTACTTGCTCAATTACATATATTAATAGGTAAATCTTATGTAGTATTATTGCTTTCTTTTTGATTAAGGTATGAGCTTTATAAATGTTCGTAATTTATGAGCCTGGTCCTTTAAGATGATGGGTGCCTCTTGCCAGAGTAGTGAGTGCTCTCATCTTCCTTTGAAGGCAAGGCCCTGCGCAGTGTGTTCACAGGAGTATGCTGAAAGCCCATGTCACTCTTAAATTGATCAAAATGCAGGAGAGCTAGTTTAACTGAGATAATTTGTTTACTAGAGTATATAATTACTGTTCAAATTATGCATGGCCACTTTAATCAGGAGTCACATAGTGATTACTCCTGAAATAAGTAACCACTCTGACCAATTACAAGAACTCTCCTCTAGCTCCAGCAAGGTTTCCATTATGAGGCAGGACCCTATCTGTGTCCTGTCTTTAAGGTATGAGAGAGAACTCTTATATGTAACTGAAGCCCTTCAATCAGTAAAAGCAAAGTTTGGCCATAACATTTGGAACTTGTTTCCTCTTCACCATTATAAGTGAATCATCTTTGAAGTAACAGATTGTTGTTGTTTTTTACATAGGGTGACCAGACATCCTGATAAAATTGGGACTGTCCTGATATTTAGTTGTTTGTCCCGTGTCCCGACCGATGTACGGTCGGGACACCATTTGTCCCGATATTTTGGCTCAGGGCTGGAGGAGTACACTGGTGAGCACTCACCTCGGGTCCCAGCAGTACTTATTTGGGGCGGCTCTCAGGAAACGGCGGGCTGCAGGACCCTGCGGCCCTTAGGCACGGGGCAGCCGGGGGGGTGTCTGCATGCTGCACCTACAACAAGCACTGGCTCCATCACGGCCAATGGGAGCTATGGGTGCGGACAGGGTGCAGACTCCCCCTGGCTGCCCCTGACCCTGGGGCACTGCGTGCTACTCACGCCCCCGAGTAAGTCCCGCCCCCACGGCTTCCAGCCAATGGCAGCTGGAGCCAGTGCTTGTGGCAGGCGCAGCACGTGGAGTGGAGACCCTGCTGGCCGCCGCTGACCTTAGGAGCCAGAGGAACCTGCCAGGTGTTTCCCAGTGGGCGGGAACCATCCCCCAGGTAAGCAGCGGGGCTGCGGCTGGGGCCCTGTGCCCGCGGCTGGGCTGCGGGCGGGAGCCGAGGCCGTGTGCTTGTGGCGGGGGCCAGGGCCATGCGCCCCCAACTGGCGGCTTGCAGCAGGGCTGGAGCAGGGGCCACGAGCCCCCGACCCGCGGCGGGGATGCAGCCGGGGCCCTGTGCCTCTGGCCCGCAGCAGGGATGCAGCCGGAGCCAGGGCCTTGCGCCCCTGGCCCGCGGCTTCCTCAGGCTTTGTATCCCCCTTCCCCCATGGCTCCAGTGGGATGTGTGTGTGGGGGGGGAAGTGAGCCTGTGGCTGCCCCCCCATGTGTTCCGATATTTTGTTCTTGTCATCTGGTCACCCTATTTTTACATGTTGTGCCAGCAGGCTGCTTACTGGAATGTACAGAGCTGTTCGTATACGATAAAGAACCCCTGTAATGCATAAATGACAAATACCTCCCCTGCATGAATTCAGCCTCAAGGATTTAAGAGTATAGAGCTGTTCTATGTCTCACAATACTGAGAGACACTCAATTTTATTCTCACATTTTAAAAATAAATATTCCCTGTTTATGGTTCTTAACTAGATAGTATTACATTCTGGTCATTTAGTGTCAGCATCTAATCCACACCTTTCTCAAAGATCACTCACATCAGCCCAAATTCTTCTCTCAGTCCATCTTAGGTACTTTTATGGGCCCCATTACCATAGTATCTAGGCATCTCACAATTTAAAATATCCTCATTAACACCCCTGTGAGGTAGGGAAGTTTTATTATCCCCATTTTACAGATGGGAAACTGAGCCACAGATAGTCTAAGTGACTTGCCCAGAGTCACTCAGGAAGTCTGTGGGAGAACAGGGAATTGAAACTGGGTCTCCCAACTCCTCTACTAGTGTCCTAACCAATGGGTCATCCTTTCTTTCAGTCACTATCACATTACTTGACAACATAACTGACAAATGTAACGCCACTTATGTCAACAGAATTACTCCAGACCCACATCAGTGTAACAGAGGAGAATACAGTCTATCTTCTCTTATTATTCCTATTTTCATGCTTGCTGTTTAGTGGGTTTTGAGGGGGGGGGAGGTTTGTATTTTTTTAAGGAATTGTAATATTCCTCAAGTGCACAGATTATAGTAAATGAATAGAGAAGGTGTCTCTTTGGCTGTTAAGTTATGCTCACATTCTCAATTCTGGTGAGTCAAACTGTATTACCTTTTGGCCTTACTAGTGACCACACTCTAGAAGGCAAGGAGAACATCTCTGCTGTATGCATTTATATCTACTATTTTACAGTGACATTTTTACTCAAGTAGCACAGAAAAACTGGACACTTAATGACGCACGGTATTGTACATTTTCCCATTCCTTAAACTCTCTATCTTACCTCATCTCAGTTTTCCTTAAATAAGATACACAATTTAAAAATACAAATGTATAATTTGTCTAATAGAGCAAGAGTTGGAGACATTCATTTGTCACATTGCAGGCAGATCCCCTGGGAAAGCTGCTCATCCTTATGAGTGAATTTCCTGATACATCCATAGTACATGTAAAAATTTCATGACAATCATGGCTTCAAAAATAATATGGTTTGCTTTATAGTATCACACACAATTATTATGATGTCAAATGTGTATTGATAAATCCTCCTAAGGACTGATCCAAAGCCCAAAGCTCATTTCTAGACTTCTGGCTTTGGATCAGGCAGGTAATTAAACTAATGATACAAAATTTAAAAATGAACCATTTCTGAAGTGTTCTGCTCTGACCGTGAGCAGGAAGATGATTCTATTAGCACAACTGCAAACAATTCACATCGGAGTCTCTAATTCATCTATATTTACCAGCTAATTCATTAAACTACCACATAGTGTGTGCTTCTGTTTGTACAGTTATCTGAGACATCTAGAAAAAAAAATCTATTTACCATGCTCTCAGCCACATAGGGAATGCACAAAAAGCCATTCTTCTCAACCAAATGGTCTTCTAATATAGAGTAGGAGCAGGAATGTACGAAAAACGTGGATTTTTTTTGCCAGTGCATAAATGTTTTCACTGAAAGTAGCTGCTGGCATCTACATTGATTGCATTACCCATGTGAAGTACAGAAGTTGATTTTTATCTATAAAGAATTTAGTTCATAGAACAAGCAGGGCAACTACTGAGTGACAAAACCGGACCTATCCCCAATCTTTATGTAAACAATCACAAGTTCTCAATTTAGCATTTTACATTTCCCCTTCTTGAGTTTTCATAAGCGCATTCCCTCTCCGCCTTCCATTCAAAGCCCAGGTTTTTTTCCTCAGACTCTCTTGTTCCAACTCTATAGCAACAACAGAGCTGCAAAACACATTTTGGATGCCACAGTCGCTCTTTCCAACACTGGAGCCGGACATGGCCCACTATTGTTTTGACAGTGTATTGCACAGTTGAATTCTTTCTTTTCAGAGGTTGCCCACTTGCACAGTGCAAACTCAGTTGTGATTCCAGGCCTAAATAACTGTGCCAAGAACTGAACCATGGTTTCTCAAGCATAGCAAGCTCCACATAATGGGTCTCTTTGTTCATGAAATAGTGATTGACTTTTGCTACTTTAAAAAAATTACAATATTTAGGCAACAGAAACACAGGAAATTTCTGTTTGTTTAACACATTTCAGATCATTCCACTTAAATCTTTCAAACTAAAGTAGTTTGTCTATAATTAGCCAAGGCTTGAAAAATAGGATTATTTTTCGTTTACATAGTGACTTTCAGCCTATAAAATACTGAGATATTTTACAAGTGAGGCCCCAATCCTGCATGAGTCTGTTTGCACAGAGATAACCACAGGATCAGAGTCTAGACACAACAGCAATACTGAAATGCTGCCACCTTTTGGTGGGAGGTCTGTAGGGAAACAGGACCCAAAATGCTAAATATTGCATTAGTGGGAGGGAAAATAGTGAGGAAGGGCAAAGGCAAACGCCTACACTTGGGCAAAATTTGTATTGGGATCTTTAATACTACGCAACAGCAATTCCTTGCTTTCCAAAGTATCCCTGGCCAAGGGGCTCAGGGCACTTTGCCATTTTCAAAACCACACTGAAACATTACAGTTAAAACATATTATTTACATAAAAACAAAATGAATTTGAGGGAGCCCAATCCATACAGAAAAAAGAGAATGAGAGCCAACAGAAATATATAAAGGGCCAACAGCGGTCATTAAAAAAAAAAGCATTAGAAATGAAGGTTTAGCGTGCTTTGAAAAAGCAGGGAGAAGTGGAGTAAGATAGATTTCAGAGGAGAGGGAGTTCCACACACCGTAAAGGCATGGATTGCTGGCTGAGGAAACATATGAAAATAAGATCCCTAAAAGGCAGGCAGTGCCTCATCAGGAAGAGGTGTGGGATGAGGATTTTGCATTATCATTTCTACACATGAACTAGTGATGCACAGATGCACAGCCTCCTATCCCAGGAAGTTTGGTCTCTGCCCTGGAGGAATGCTTTAACGATAATACCAGCTGAGTGCATCCAAGCTGCCTCATCCTTATCCTGCTAAAGCAGAAGCTTTCCTACTGGGTAGAGGATGCTCATTCCTCCTTCATGTCCCCTCTCATTGAAGGGGGTCACTCAGGGTATGTCTCAGTAAGAGACAAGGGGATTTACCAAAGCTGTTTAAGAGCTTCAGATATCCCAGGGCTTATGCCCTATAAAGGTTCTTGCTAATAGGTAGCTCATCTCAATCTCCCATCAATTCACCTTTCCCATAACCACATGGAGCCATGCACACAAGCAAAAAAACATGTTAAAAGAAAGGCAAAGTAGAAAAAAATTGAAAAGTGGGAGCATTCACTCAGATCAAACAAGTCATCCCAGCAACCGTGGTCACAGAAAGAAGTAAGCAGAAAACTCACTATCACCTCCCAAGTCCTTGACAGTGAATCCTGCTACCAAGCGTACCAAACAGACAATAGTGAGGAGAACCATGATCAACAGTGAAACAAAATTAATAATAAATCACACAAGCAAGGAGACTGTGGCTCTCACCGCAGATTCTCATCTGAAAGAATTCCATGCCGTAAAATTCATGGAACATAAAGTATCTTCCTGGCAGGGGGAAGGAAAGACTTATCCCTGTTAGGATTTAAGCCCCCTATGTTTAGGCCACTAAGTCATGCCCCTGATAGAGTGGTGGAAGATCTGGAACAGGCACAGGATGTAAATCTCTTTGGCAGAGCAATCCTGAATAACTGCCTGGACCCTCGAAATTCCATCTGTCTTGAAAGAAGAGAGAGCTGGTTTCTACAGAACTCGGCATGATTCACTGGAATTCATCCTCCAGTATTCCTTTCCCTATTCTGAGTGTAAAAGAAACGGGAAAGCTTCTTTCCTCTTCAGCCAAGTGCTCCTGCACTAGCCACTGTACCTGTGAAGAGGAACAGCACTTTGGGACTGGGCTACCCGCCGTCTAACAGCTAGCTTAAGTGAACAGTCTAGAGTGAATTCTCCTCCCGGTCACACACATGCAACTCCACTGAAATCACTGATGTCAGTGTGGCTACATGCAAATCATGTAAGAATTTGGCCCAAGCAGTTCTGTGAGAGGAATGTTAATGAGCCTACTGAGGCAGTGTACAGCTGGGTCCCAGAGTGTGTGGGGATATAAGCCTGCAACAAGGAAAGAGCAGTAGGGAGAAGGGAAGAAAGATATGGAGGAACATGCTGCCTGACTCCCTCCTTTCCCTTGACAGCTCTCAGGATGTGAAAAAAGCTGAAACTGTGTCCAAGGACTTTTTGGCAGATAAAAGTCTGCACTTATTGTTGCTCATTTGAACTGATCACTTGGAGAGATCACTCCACATTGGTGCTTGGCCAATCAGCCTTGTGATGGGAGTCCCCCCCTCCCCCCTCCCCCCAAGTATATTCACTGCTTCAACTGGCCTGCCACAATCAGACACAGGAAGATTTTACTGGTGGCTGAGGAGAGAAAACAGGGAGGATTATGGGTGTGTTAAGAAGTCTCCACAAGGCAAAAAGCCACATCTAGCTACACAGAAGCAGAACTGTTGCCTGGAACCAAGCTTGTCTTTCAGGGTTTGTCTGCCCAGTAGCTTTGCTTGAGCCAGTGCTTAAAGACAGCATTTGTGCCGTAGCAGCAAGGGCTGTGGCTTGGGCTAGCCATCCAGGGTGTTTTATAAATTCAAAGACTTTAAGGCCAGAAGGGACCATCATGATCATCTCGTCTGGCCTACTGCATGTTGCAGGCCACAAAACCTCACCCACCCACTCCTGAAATAGATCCCTAACCTCTGACTGAGTTACTGAAATCTTCAGCTCTTCCATTTACTCTTGTTCAAACCAGCAAGTGACCCATGCCCCATGCTGCAGAGGAAAGCGAACTCCCCCCCGCTGACCTGGGGAAAAATTCCTTCCTGACCCAAAATATGGTGATCAGTTAAACTCTGAGCATGTGGGTAAGATCACCCAGTCAGACACCTAGGAAAGAATTCTCTGTAGTAACTCACAGCCCTCCCCATCTAATGTCCCATCTCTGTCCATTGGAGATATTTGCTATCAGCAGTCGTAGATAGACCATATGCCATTGTAGGCACTCTCATCATACCATCCCTTCCATAAACTTAAGCTCAGTCTTAAAACAAGTTAGGTTTTTTGCCCCCATTGCTCCCCTTGGGAGGCTGTTCCAGAACTTTACTCCTCTGATGATTAGACTCCTTCATCTAATTTCAAGGTTAAATTTATTGATGGCCAGTTTATATCCATTTGTTCTTGTGGCAACATTGGCCCTTAAATAAAACAACTCCTCTCCATCCCTGGTGTTTGTCGGTCTGACGTACTTATAGAGAGCAATCATATCTCCCCATCTCCTTCATTTTGTTAGACTAAACAAGCCAAGCTCCTTATCTCATCTCGTTAAGGGATAGTACGCAGGCAGTTAGCCCGAGCCACCACCTGCACAGCTGCAGCTACACCGCTAATTTTAAGTGCTCTAGCTTGAGCAGTATTAGCATTAGCACATATATGTCCACCCAAGCTGGGAACCACGCCTCCCAACTACTGTATATATGTACCCTAAGAGTCCTGGTCTCCAAATTAGTAGACAACTCATGCTGATTTCCAGCACTCTCTCTCTCTCTCGGGTCTAGCTTTTAGAGCTAGTCCTTACACAAAATACCCTACAGTTTCCAGAAGTCACATGACAATTTAAGGGGGGTAAAAATCAGACCAAAAATCCATACAACTTATATTGGCAACAAATGCCAATATAAGATAAGTTCAAAGTGCAGAGAAAGTGAAATCTCACTGACACAAAGTTAAACAACTCAAAACTACATTTCTTAGAGTATTCAGTGGATTTTACAGCTTATCTGAACCAATTTTTAATGCTTAAAGTCTATCCATTGTTATTAAGAATAATTGTGTTTCATGGCACAATACGCAAATAATACATGTAAAAACATTTACCTCTACTGTATGTGTCTCAGTACTGATTATAAAAATTTGTCCACCAGACGCAGCCCAAATGGTATCTTCCATCATGAGTAGACTTCTAACTGGCAGAACCCCTAATTTCACTACTTTCTGGGGTTCTGAATTCCAGGCTCCATCTTTACAGAAGAAAAGAAGCAAGATGAAATGTTACACACAATAAAAATGTAATTTTTGATTTTCAAATTCACTTAAGAACAAATAGTTTGGAAAGCAGTATGTCTCACCCAGCAGTGACTGAGCTATTAGCACTTATAAAACAAAATCAGTAACAGACAAACACAGAGACTTACTATATGACTAGCAAGCAATCCACCTGAAACTTGCAAGAGTACAAATTATCAGTTACAAGAAAGCATTTCCCTACATGCAGGATACAAGTAGTGACACTGCAAGCTAACTTGGTTTCTTGTTGACACTTGTGTAACATCTCTGGTCCAAACTATGGCCTTAGTTAGACCTGTGTAAAATCAGTGGGTTGTGCAGGTGTAACACAGGGCACAATTTCAAGACACTGGGGCGGCGGAGGTGTAACTGAGCATTCAACTGGCCTGCAGTATCTTTACAAGTAGTGATGACGTATGAGAAGGAAAGAACACAGTTGGACTTTCAGAGCCCATGCTGAGTTTGCAGAGATGGCAGTCAGAAAAAAAACTATTCATTTGGTATTTAAGCACATTTTATATGGATTCGGTTGGATGCTATTAACGTGGAACACAACATTGCCATTTTCAAAGTGGTGCTTTGCAGCACAGAACCCAACTGTTTGTCTCATCTTACTCTCCACTAACTGCAGTCCAAATCTCAAAGCATTCATTTATGAGAATTTCACACAGCTATAGTCACTCTCCAGGAAGGAGGAGACCATAGCTGGCCTATTACAAGATGAATTATCTTTCATGCTAGAAAGGCTCAAAGTCCAGATGCATGAAGCAGTCAGTGACAGTTTTACTACAGCTTCTACCACGTTAAAGTATCTGCCTATCAGAAACTTGATGGGATGGACTTTCTGCTACTAGATTCTTAACTTTCAGAAATGCATTTTAAAAGAGATTAAAGACTCATTTTGTGCCATATCGTTTGTGTATAGTTCAGTTTTATTGAGAATTCATTCTGGTTACAAACCATCCTGCAATTGATTCAGACTGGATATAGCAGACCAAAATTAGATTATGCCTAAATGCATGTTGTAATATTAGGAATACAGTATCCTTCTGCTTCAGCCTGCATATCACCACTTATCAGTGTGGTCAGACTGCTGCTTGACATCTCTTTGAAGCAGGGATTGAAGATTAAAGAAATCACAGCAGATTGCTTTGTCAGAGATTTTGCTTTTAGCAACATGATCTTGTTTTGAATATTTTTTGCATGCTACTTGCATACCTACATTTTGAATTGTATATAGAATTAAATAATTTTAGTAGCTTTCACATACATTAGTTTATTTTTGTCGTGAACACTCACTCAATATTAAATACCCACAATACTGCACTACTATCTAGAATGTTCTCTTAGAACCATAGAATTGTAAAGCTGGAAAGGACCTTGAGAGGTCATCTTGTCCAGCCCCTTGCACTGACACAGGACTAAGTAAACCCATTACTTCTTGTCTTTTCTTCAGTAGACATGGAGAACAATTGATCACAGTCTTCTTTATAACAACCCTTGACTTATTTGAAGACTATCATCAGATCCCCTCCACCGCCAGCCTTCTTTTCTCAAGATTTTCTCAGAGGTCAGGTTTTCTAAACCTTTTATTGGTCTTTTTTTCTCTCCTCTGGTCTGTCTCCAATTTATCCACATCTTTCTTAAAGTGTGGTGCCCAAAACTGGACACAGTGCTCCTGCCAAGGCCTCACCAGGGCTACGCAGAGCAGGACAATGACCGCTCATGTTGTTCATATAAGATTCCTGTTAATACACCCCAGAATGATATTTGCCTTTTTCACAGCTGCATCACATTGTTGATTCATATTCAATTTGTGACCCACTATAACCCTCATATCCCTTTTGGCAGTACTAGCACCTAGCAAGATATTCACGATTTTGTATTTGTGTATTTGATTTTTCTTTCCTAAATGTAGCATTTTGCACATATCTTTACTGAATTTATCTTGTTGATTTCAGACCAATTCTCCCATAAGGTAATTCTGAATACTAATCCTGTCCTTCAAAGGGCTTGCAATCTCTCCCAGCTTGGGGTCATCCACAAATTTTATAAACATATTCTCCACTTCATCATCCAAGTCATTAATGAAAATATTGAATAGTATCAAACCTAGGAGAGACCCAGGCAGGATCCCACTAGCTATATCCTCCCAGTTTGACAACAAACAATGGATAACTACTCTGAGTATGGTCTTTCAAAAAGTTTGTATTGTAATTTAATTTAGACCACATTTCCCTAGTTTGCTTGTGAGAATTTAATGTGGGACCATGTCAAAAGCATTACCAACATCAAGATATATCAAGTCTACAGCTTCCTTGCTATTCACTAGGCCAATAGCTCTGTCAAAAAAGGAAATTAGGTTGATTTGGCATGATTTGTTTGGCTATTACTTTTCACCCTATTATCCTTCAGGTGCTTACAAACTGATTGTTTAATAATTTGTTCCAATATCTTTCCAGGTATTGAAGTTAGGCTCACTGGTCTATAACTTCCCCGGTCCTCTTTGTTCCTGTTTTTAAAGATAGATACATGTTCACCCTTTCCCAGTCTTCTGGGACCTCACCAGTTTTCCATGAGTTCTTGATAATGATCACTTAATGGTTCTGAGATTGCTTCAGCTAGTTCCTTAAATTCATCAGCTTCTGCCAATTTGAATACATCTAACTTATTTAAATATTCTTTAACCTGATCTTTCCCTATTCTGGCTTGTGTTCTTTCCCCCGTTGTTCATATTAATTGTGTTAGACATGTGGTCTTTTAGTGAAATCTGAAGCAAAATAGGCATTAAACACCTCAGCCTTCTTGGTGTTGTCCATTGCTAGCTCTCCTTCCCCATCACGTAGTGACCCTTCACTTTCTTTCATCTTTCTCTTGCTCATATGTATTTATAGAACCTCTTCTTATTGTCTTTTATGTTCCTTGTCTTATTAATAAGATATATAAAATGTATTTGTTTCTAATATCTGTGTGGTTACACTGAGAAAATGTCACCTTACTTGCATATCTATCTGTGGCCTGTGTGAGCTCCAGTAACATTGCCTACTTACTGACATCAACAAAACACATAAGCATGTGCTCAATTTAAGCATATACTTACATAAACTCTTATATAGATTATATGATCGTTGGGGCAGTGATTCTCTCTTTGCTACCTGCCTATATAGTATTTAGAACAATGGGGCCCTAATCCTTGTTTGGGATTCCTGGACACCACTGTAATACAATAATAGTAATAACGGTAAACACATGCATAAGTGCTTTGCTGAATCAGTACCCAAACAAAATTGTGGTACTCATAAACTGTATTGCAGGGGTCGGCAACGTTTGGCACGCGGCTCGCCAGGGTAAGCACCCTGGCGGGCCGGGCCAGTTTATTTACCTGCTGACGCGGCAGGTTCGGCCGATCGCGGCCCCCACTCGCCGCGGTTCGCCGTCCCGGGCCAATGGGGGCAGCGAGAAGTGGCGCGGGCGAGGGATGTGCTGGCCGCAGCTTCCCGCCGCCCCCATTGGCCCGGGATGGCGAACCGTGGCGAGTGGGGGCTGCGATCGGCTGAACCTGCCGCGTCAGCAGGTAAATAAACTGGCCCGGCCCGCCAGGGTGCTTACCGCCGCGTGCCAAACGTTGCCGACCCCTGCAATACAGTTTATGAGTACCACAATTTTGTTTGGGTCCTGATTCAGCAAAGCACTTATGCATGTGTTTACCATTATTACTATTATTGTATTACAGTGGTGTCCAGGAATCCCAGACAAGGATTAGGGCCCCATTGTTCTAAACACTATATAGGCAGGTAGCAAAGAGAGAATCACTGCCCCAACGATCATATAATCTATATAAGAGTTTATGTAAGTGCCAAACGTTGCCGACCCGTGCTGTATTGCCTCTGATATCTGCAACTATATAACTGTTCTTGACACATGCTTAGAATGTGGTTCTAATCTGAAAAGTATCTTCGTATAAAAGACACTGAGTTCCGTGTCACAACGATTTCCATATTAAATGAATTCAGTCTGCAAGTGAGAAGAGTGTTTCCAATTAATAGCCCTGCAAACTCTACCTGTGAGGTAAAACTAATCTGTGTTCTCTCTGACTCAGGCATCACCACCAGTAATAACAAAACTTAGGGCTATGTGCCTTCCTCACTTCAACCATATTGTCCTCAAATTAACTGCTGCGGTGGAGATTGCATAATTGTATAATTGAGGTCATAATTTGAAGATAACAAAGGTGCACAAGTGCCCTACACTTAGCAGTCCGTTTACTATTTACATTGACTATGTGCAAGTCAAAACAGAATCCAGTTCTCTGTCCCTGAGCTATTTTGCTTCTTCAGGGGTAAGAGTAGTAAAAAATGGCATAGTCTTACTATGTCCGCTAAAGTACACAGACTTTGAATTTGCACCATGAGTAGATCTGCTGAGTAAGAAGATGTTTTTTTTAAATACAGTCAACTTTTCAGCAATGAATCACATATTAAATTCAACTAGAGACTATCTTGTTCATTGATTCAACACCCTTTCTTCTCAGACATAAATGCAATAGTCTGTTTATTTCCTGCATGTCTGAATTTGGTGTAAAACATAACTGAAATGTATAATGATTCCCAATGTATTTCTACCTCATTTCTTTCAGGGTCATCATTTATTTTTAAAAGTTAGGCATTTAAGGCTTTATTCAATATAAACTGAAGACAGTGGATGTCTTTTCCACTTCATTCACTGAAGGGCATGAAAAGACTCTCATTGATTTCAGTAAGTGTCTGGATTATGCCCTTAGTGCTCATGATGACTTCAATACAACTACTCGTGAATAAGGGATTGCAGAATTAAGTCCTTCTTTAGTTAATTTTGATCAAATCTCATATATAGTCACTACATGTAATATGTCATATATGCATTAAAATAGCAAGGAAGATCACCAGCTGATATCTATTACAGATACTAATTTTGT